ACAGATACACACACAGGTACACACACAGGTACACACAGATACACACACAGGTACACACAGGTACACACAAAGGTACACACACAGGTACACACAGATACACACACAGGTACACACACAAGTACACAGACAGATACACACACAGGTACACACAAGTACACACAGGTACACACAGGTACACACACAGATACACACACAGGTACACACAAAGGTACACACAGCTACACACACAGGTACACACAGGTACACACAGGTACACACAAAGGTACACACAAGTACACACACAGGTACACATGTGATCGGTTCTCTGATTGGTTCTCTGTCTTCCCAGGTTGGAGGATGTTGGTTTGGAGAAGTTCTCCCTTCCGGTTCTTTTCACCAGGATCTTCATTCCTGCTGCGTTCTTACTGGTGCTCACTCAGACACACTTCTATCACACACAGTCACATCGTATCATCATGTGACTGTTGTTGTCTTCGTTCTGCAGGTGTGTATAGTTCACCTGCATTATTTCCATGAGCCGTTCCTGCAGCTGACTGACCTGAAGACTGTGGTGGATACACACAACAGCACCATCACCAGGTATCACACACACACCAACCCTGTCCAAAGCTCTCAGATGAGTAGGCCTCTGCCACTTGTCCCCAGTCCTCTACTACAAGTCCAAAGACCTCTCCCACTCGTCTCCCGTCCTCTACCACTTGTCCCCTGACCTTTACAACTATTCGTCAGACCTCTGTGCCCACCTGTCTCACTTTCACCTGTCTCTCTCTTTCTCTGCAGGTTGGTTCACTCTGATGGCAGTCTGGTCGACCTGTCAGTGGGTGGAGCTCCTCAGCTCCTCCTGGAGGAAGAGAAGACAAAAGGAGAGAGGGAGAGAGAGAGAGAGAGAGAGGGAGAAGATAAGGGGATAAAGGCAGAAGAGGAGGAAGAGGAAGATTACCCCTGTGTGTTTGACAGGGAAACCCTTTCTGACCACATAACAGGTAAACTACATTGTCACACTTGAGACACAGGAGTTGAGTTTGAAACAGGAAGTAGACTCTGATGTCTCATCCTCAGCGCTGGTCTCCTGGAGGTTGGTGGTGGATCGAATCTCTGTGTTATTCCTGCGCCTCCTCCTCTCCCTGCAGCGACTGCAGCGCCTCATCTGGTGGCTCCTGGAATTACACATTGTCAAGATCGTTTCCTCCTACATCATCTGGGTCTCTGTGAAGGAGGTCTGAGCCTGTCTGTTATATTTACCTGTCTCTGTCTGTCTCTCTGCAGATATGTGTGTTGAACCTGTCTGTGTGTCTCCCCCCGTCTCTCTCTTCAGGTGTGTGTCTTCAACCTGCTGTTTGTCCTATGTGTGGGCGTGGCTCTGCCCTGCAGGGCGTTGCGCCCGCTACTGTCTGGAGTCTGTACAGTGTGGACCTGTGTGGTGACTGTTTGTAAGATGTTATACCAACTCAACGTCGTTCAGCCAATCAGATACTCGTCCAACTGCACCATGGTAACCACGGCAACATCATCATACCTGTCTGCCTGTACAGCTGTCTGTTTGTCTCTCACCTGTCTGTCTCTCTGTAGCCAGAAAACTCCAGCACTGAACTGTCTCACTCTGCTCTCTACACTGGTCCAGTTGACCCCGCCCAGTGGGTGGGGCTTCGCAAGACAGACGGAAAACTGCTCGACTACCTGAGGGTGAGGAGTGATGACATCATCAGTCAATAAAACAAGTGTTTTCAGTATAACTTGATGACGTTAGTACCGATAGGTCTGATAACAAAGCATCATGCTAACTTATCTTTGTCTTCACAGTATAACCTGATGATGTTAGCGCTGTTTGCATTCGAGGTGACTGTTTACCGACACCAGGAACTCTACCGCCTCCGTCATAAAAAAGTCCCGCCCCCTACCAGAACGCTGTTTCATGACATCACCAGGCGTCAGCTGGACGACAATGTTCTGAGCTGCCTCAAATATTTCCTGAACTATTTCTTCTACAAGTTTGGACTGGAGGTGAGACATGCCCATGTTGCCACGGCAACAACCCAACTTGCTCTTGGTTTTCAATAAAAATATTCCCATGCTCCCCCTCAGACCTGCTTCCTGTTGGCCGTAAATGTGATTGGTCAGCGGATGGATCTGTTTGCCGTAGCCCATGCCTTTGGCCTCATCACTGTCCTATCACGTCGCAGCAGGAAGTACATTGCCTTAGTGTGGCCCAAATACTGCTACTTCCTTTCTGGGTTGTTGTGTTTCCAGTACCTTCTGTGCATCGGTTTCCCTCCTGCTGCCTGTGCAGGTACAAACTCACCTGAAGACAAAGTGTTGGGATTATTAACTTCACAAAAAGTTTCATCAAAAGTTTTATTCTGAAATGGTAAAGGAAGTGCTAAAAGGTGGATGGAGCTAAGCTAACAGTTTCCCTCTGTTTTTGTTTTGATGTTCAGATTATCCTTGGAGACCTCCGTCCTCCAACATGGACTCTAACGTGGTGAAATGGCTCTTCCTTCCTGATCACCTGACACCACCCAACCCACTCTTCCTCCTGTGTAAGGCCATCATCATCATCATCATCATCACACAGTGTTAAATAATGAGTTTTCATTTGGTGAAGTATATTTTATATTTTAAAACAAAAACATTTTGGTAATGGTATTAATTTATGATTCACGACTCAAGAAAAAAATTAATCCAGATTTAAACTAAAAAATCAAATAGAAAATCAAATATGAAATGATTCAGATTCGTGATCAGTTTGGACTATTAACTGCTTCCTCTCTTATTTCCTCTCCGTGTCCTGAACACCTGACCTCATTATTTTGTGTTTCCTGTCTGTTCAGATGATTTCTTGCTCCTCCTTGGGGCGTCGCTGCAGCTGCAGGTGTTTGAGGAGGAGCTTCAGTCGACGGTTCAAATCCTCGCAGGCGACAACAGCGAGCTAGACGGAGACGATGGACAGATGTGTGATGTCATCAGACGACTCCGTCTCAACACGGTTCCTGATTTCACGCTGTGCAGGTAAAACCCCACCCACTGTCCATCTGTCTACCTGTCCACCCATCCACCTGTCTGTGTCTCTGACCACTGTCCATTTGTTCAGGTCTTACCTGGACATGATGAAGGTCATCATCTTCAGCTACATGTTCTGGTTTGTCCTCACCATCATTTTCATCACTGGGACAACCAGGTGAGTAGGTGTATTATTTTTCAAAGTAAAATACAGAATTTTACAACTGCTCCTGCTTTTCCACGATTCAACTAAGATGATTAGCAAAGTTAATAAAAATGGGATTTTACTCAAATTTATAGCAAATATTTTGTGTTTTTTTTTTCAAATTTAGATTCAGTCTAAAAATGTGGGGATGATGAATAGTTGTAAATCTAGAAATAACTGGACTGTGCTGTTTTGTTCCAGGATCAGTATCTTCTGTATGGGTTACCTGGTCGCCTGTTTCTACTTCCTGTTGGTCGGAGGAGAACTGTTACTAAAACCAGTTAAATCCATCCTGGTTTACTGGGACTGTCTGATCGGCTACGACGTGTTTGTCATCACCATGAAGAATATTCTGTCGGTGAGAAACATCGTCATCATTATTACATCACATTCACATGCTATTTAAAGACACATGATGGAGTCTCTCTAAATACCTTCTCCTACCTGTCTCTCTCTCTCTCTGTCTCTCTGCCTGTCTCTCTGCCTGTCTCTCTCTCTCTCTCTCTCTCTCTGTCTCTCTGCCTGTCTCTCAGATTCTGGCGTGCGGTTTCATTAAGTCATTGGTGTTGAATCACTGTTGGCTCATTCAGCTCTTCAGTCTAGCGTGCACCATCAAAGGATACACCAAACGTATGTAAATCTATCCATCCATCCGTCCGTCTGTCTGTCTGTCTGTCTGCCTACCTGTCTGTCTGTCTGTCTGTCTGTCTGTCTGTCTGTCTGTCTGTCTGTCTGCCTGTCTGTATTTGTCATCTCTGTTGTTGCTATTGGCAGCGGAGCAGCAGAGCAGTAAACAGTGTGAGTTACCGAGTGACGAGGCAGGTATCATCTGGGATGGAGTCTGTTTCTGTTTCCTGTTGCTGCAGAGACGAGTCTTCAGGAGTCACTACTTCCTGTACGTGGTCTTGGACCTGCAGAACACACAACTACTGGCCT